AACCCCAAACACCTATGAATCCCCCCCGGAGGCGGCCAGTCGGGGGGGAGTTTTGGACATAGGCGAGCAGGAGTCGTCCGCGCAACCATGGCCCTTGCCACACTAACTGAAAATATACAGGCCGAACATTCGGGGGCCCCAGGCTGACCCCTGAACGTTCGGGCGTTCGGGGTCCCGTTCGGGGACCGCGCCAAAAAGTATTTCGGGGTCTAAAAATGAATTTTTTTGTAAGTTTTTTTTTTTTTTTTTTTTTTTTAATGAAATTTCCCGAACCGGTTCTAGGGGTGCTGGTACGAGCAGGCACCACCAGAATAGCCGGTGAGGCTCCATCTATTGGTGGGGAGCAGCACCTGCTGGAAATCGGGTCTAGCATCCCTGTGAAGTACAATGCAAACAATGAATGTGACCATTTAATGTTAGTGTACACGAGGGAGACTGGGCAGTGACCAGCCCAGCCTTCTGTTCTTACGAGTTTATCGATTTTACTGTTGTTGTTGTAGCTTTGACTGACGATTACTATCTATGTGTTTGTTGTCTCATGTTGTTGTGTCACGTCCGTTAAAACCATAATCCCTAGTGGTCATCCTTGCATGACGTCCCATGGTGAGTGATGGTACAAACATGCCTTGTGATAGGTAGACTGAGCAAACCTGCTATTGTAATTTTCTACAAGCATCGTGTGGTTGTGTCCTATGTGTTGAACCCATAAACCCTAGTAGTCGTCCTAGCCTGACATCCTATGGTGAGTGATAGTACAGATATGCATTGTGCATAAACCCTAGTAGTCGTCCTAGCTTGACATCCTATGGTGAGAGATGGTACTGACATGCCTTGTGAGAGGTAGACTGGGCAGACATGCTGATATGCTGTTGTACACAGATCTCTTGGCTGCTGCCAGGAGAATTACAAACCAATTGAGTTGACTCTTCTGCTTTCCCGGTCCTTTGTCCAAATTCTGGTTCGAGTTGTTTCCCTTGTCCGGCATAGGGGAAGAGAAGGGCAATCGGGGGGGATAAAGGGGGGTGGGTGAATGAGTGGGCGAGCGAGGTGGGAGCCGGGGGTGGGGGGGCTGTGGTCGAGTTGACCTATTCAGGGTCGAGGGGGCAGTAGTGGAACTGAGAGATGGAGTGGGGGGGGGAGGGAGGAGGGGATGACCAGGGCAGAGTTGGTAGAGCCCGTGTCCAGGAGGAGAACGAAGTTCGTTGGCATATAGGAGAATTGGAAGTGTTGTCTCGGTAGTCTTTCCCATTGTGTTTCTGTTGAGAGCCAGGGTCGCCAGTGAAGGTTGGTATTGTCATCCAGGAAGCACAACCTTCAGTTTTTATCTGCCCAGGTCTCTGAGAATGTTTGGACAAGCTCCCTTTTCTTCGCCGGGTCCGGTTCGCTTCGTAGTGCGGAGTGCAGTTCTTTCCATGCCCCTTCAGTCTTTGCTATGATCGTATCAATTACTGAAGCTCTAGCCTGCATGAATCCGAATGTGTGTTGCTGTCTTTCGTGAGCACATCGCATTCTCCACGTGGCCATGAGTACTGTTAGTCTAGTGTATGTGAAGAGGTTGATCATGAAGGGGGACCACTGTATCGCCCCCGGCAGGGGCTCCCCCAGCAGAAGGGTGCCCACAATCCATGGGAGGTGTGTTTCTGTGAGGTGGTGCCAGGCAGCATCCCACCAACTCCAAAGCTGAGCCACTATGGGACAATCCAATAGGCTATGTTCCAGGGTAGCTCTTTTCTTTGGGAAAGCCTGTGTGCAGTAGGAGCATAGGGGAGACAGTTGGCCTTTGTCTTCGAGGTTTGTTCTCGCAGTTAGCCAGTCCGGTGTGGGCAAGCACCTGTGTATGATTTGCCATTGCAGGGCTCTATGGTTGGTCGGGTTGATGTATGAGTAGGTCGACCATCGGAAATTTTGGAAACCTGGTTTTTGTAAGGGGGAGTCCCTCTCCCACCGTTTGATGATGCTGTCCATGACAGGTATTTGCTTACGTGCCGCTCTATACCCATTTTTGACTGTGTATTGCCATGGGGCCATTGTGCATGAGTCCCCCCATGTCCATCCCCACTCCGCGGGGTCGAATGGTAGGAGATGGAGAGAGATGGTAGGTTCATATAGGAAGAAGCCTTGTGACGAACCACTTTCTGTAACGCGCGAGTTTCTGCGTGGTTGCAACGAGGGGTCCTAAGCTGGGAAGATTGGGCCAATTACGGGAAATCGGGATCGGGGGAAAATTGCATCAGTACCCTTGCTTCTTCGTCTTTTTCGTCGCTTCTTTGGGGCTGGGTGTGTCCTGGGACGGCCGGTGGATTGATTGGTCGGATGGTTGTTTGGCGCGACGCCACGCGTGCGCGCGATTAATATTGACATCGTTTCTTTTGGTTCAGTTTTCGATCTTTTGGGCGCGGACATCGCGCGGGGAATTGATGCGCTCTTTTTAAATTTCTTTTGAAACCTTTTTGAATTTTTGTCGAGCCCCGATGGCTCTCGGAATTTCGGACTTTCCTTCTGGAATTTGTGCCTTTTGCTTTTTCGCATTAGATAGGAATTTAGGAATTCAGTAATTAGGATTTTTCCAGCCGCGCGACGCTTTTTGGTTCACGCGCTTCTTCATGCGGCTGCAACGGTACTCTGATTAGTGGGCGCCCTTAATCGTATGTGTAACTATAATTTTGGGTGGGCGCCATTGTAACTGTATCTTTCTTCTTGCACTTCGTCTCTTCCGCCCTTCCTCTCTTTCTTTTGCTGAAATTTTGTGAGCCGCGGCTTGCATGCTCGGATCGATGCGTGGAGAAGGGTTACGTCCCCCACGCCGCGGCCGGTCATGCAGAACGCAGGCGTTCCCTCTCTATTCCTCTCTCTAAGTCTTGGTAATTCCGTGTTCTTCGCGCATGCATGCACGCTATAAATTTCGGCTGCGCGATTAGTTTGCTCTCTTAACCCGTTGTTGGAAGCTCGGGTTTGCGAGATCAGGTAGGGTCAGCACACGAGCGAAGTAAGAGGTGAGTAGAGTAGGAGTTGGGCGACCCGGCGGGCTGGTGCCGAACGCGCGGGGTTGACGTGGGCCATGACGGACTGTGGGCACGGGCGAATCCGACGGGTGTGGGAGGACTAAGCGGGGTGACAACTTCGTGGGTGGGTGCGTGACGACGGACTGTCCGCATCGGAGAGAGAGAGAGAGAGAGGAGGAGAGAGTTGAGATCAATGGACGCGGATTTGCTGTTTCTTTGTCTCTTCCCCCTCTTCATCTGTGTACATACATTTTGATAAAGGCTCCGGGCGATTTGCCCGTTCTTATTTTCGTTTCGGCTTTCTGAGATTTGGGCTTGGGTTTTTGCTCACATTTGTCTTTGCTACGTCCGTCCCGATTGCATTATACATATGATTATCGAATGTATGGTTGTATGAATGTGTAGATGTGTGGACGTTATGCCTGTCTGTATATCTTTTTGTTGAGGATCCCTGTCCTTGCCTTTTATTTGTGTCGAATCTTTGCCCACACCTGATGCAGTTGTAGATGGGATAGGAATATGGCCCCGATAGCGATTTTGTCCTCGTTTTTGCTTATCTCACGATGAGGGGTGTGATATGGTTGTATCTTGCATAATCCGAAGTAATTAAACCGCGAACGCCGCGCGAGAACACGTGTAAACGTGATCCGAGTCGCACCATTACACGCATTCCTGTGCGACGACTCGCTCCCCCAGAAAGGAGTCACGGCGGAACCATCATCCCGTACGAGCACACTGAGGCGCCACTGAGTCGGCCTGTCCTACACATGCTCATGCGCGGTGACGATAACTGACCGCGTCATCCCACCAACGATGATACCATGACGCGATCTTGGGGCTCAGACTCGTCCTATGACCTGGATTATTTCACCCCTATAATAAACGAGCTCATAAGGACCCGATACCCTTGTCACACGGAGAATCAGCTATGTCCGCGGGAATTCCACTGTGCCACCACTAGCGACCCTCGGTGCTCCGATTTCCCTTCCCCCGACCACACATACTACTTCACCCACCCAGGATTCGTTGAGATCACCACCAGTTTCCTTGCTTTCCGCCTCCTTCTCTCGTATCATCAACTCAGTGTCGTTCCGTGGCCGGCCATAGCCCCCTATTGGCCCAATACGTTTTGCGTGAACTGCCGACGCAACGACGCGCAAAACACTCCGGAATTTCGGAGGCCCAACCCAGGTACGCGGCGGCCTGCGCCACGTGGTGGGCCCCGACGGCCTAACTTTTCAGTACCACCTCCACCACAGAGGAATTTTCCCGTAACCGTCGTCCACAGTGCCCCGGCCCCATCGGGCCTTGAGTCCCTTGCGCACGCGCCCCTCTTTCGCCCAATTACATTCATATCCTCAAGACTCCCCCACTTTCCCAAAAATCCTTGGCACACCCCTTTTCGCACTTCCAGGCCCATATCCCACTCCGATCAGGAAGTCGCGCCAGGCGTGAGGTTGGTATCGGAGCCCGACACGTGGTCAGGGTCTTAGGATTGATACCACGTTAATTAAGCGACCTGGCTAACCGTGGACGACCTCGCCCTCATAACGCATATAGACGAGACCCTATTGTCACTAGAAGCAGATCGGCTAAGCGACGAGCAGCCAATATGGCTGCCAACGTGCAAAATCCAGTTCCGCAACAAAATGCTAACCCACCTAATCAACCTGCCCCACATGCACGAGCTCCCATGTCGCCACCAAATCTCTATCTATTTGATCCGGCGCACCATCTCGCAAGAGCATGGTTGGCCACGCTTACAGCACAGCAGTACGATGATCACGAAGCACAGATCAACATTCCGGCTCGAATGGGAGGAGACGCTCATCACTGGTATAGTACCTATGTGTGGGTGGACCTCCCGAGTTTCGAACGAGATTTCAGGAATCGATTTGATTATGTCCACCCTGAGCAAGCGCTGTACATGATCAAGGACCGAGTGCAAAAACCGCTCGAATCCGTTGCGGAATATCGAAACCGGTTCTACCGAATGTTCGTAAAAATTGAGCGAGGTGACCAAGTAGGGAGAGATCTGTTCATTGACAGACTCCGCAGCCGAACAATAAGGGCTAAGTTGCGAAAGCAAATCTCCCCCATTACCCATACGCTACAACAAATTATGGCTGCTGCGGAAGAAATGGAACGGAAGTTTGCGGCGAACTCCCTAGAAGGAGAAGATTACCCTAGAGACGGAGATTCGACCGAGCTCGCTCGAGCAAGAGCAGAGCTGGCGGCTTTACATAACAAATTTGAAAACATGGGGTTTGTATCAGGACCTGTCACCTATATGGAACAGATAGGCCCCAAACGGGTAATCATAAGTGAGACTCCGAGCATCTCTGCTCCTATGATGCCCCCGCCCGTCAGGGCATTACCCCCGCCGCCGGTAGAGGCTCCTGTACGATCAAATGAATCGGCGGCCATTTTCGAACTAACCAAAACTTTGATTAGTTTGATCCAAGAAAGCAAAAAGGAGCAGCGAGAGCACAATGCTCGGCTGGAAGCGATGATGAGGAACATGCGACCTATTGCGGTGCGTGCCCCTCCGATGCAACAAGGATTAGCCCCCGCCCCTGCTCTCGGAGGAGCTGCGAACAATCTGAATGTTTGCTACGCCTGTCATCRGCCCGGACATCTAGCCCGTGACTGCCCCCACCGACCCCCACAACAGCGGATCGGAGTCGCACCTATGGCTGCGGCCCCCATCGCCAACGGACCTGGACGAGTCGGAGCCTTGATGGAAGAAGTAGAGGGTGGGGGAAGTGCTTTGGCCACCACGGAAGAGGCCGCCGAGCTAATTCCGCTAGATCAGTATGTGTCGCTGGGGTATCCTGGGCTAGGAATGATCGGAACAATCAGACCAGCGCCCGAATCGAAGGAGGTGGCGGAATGGCGACCGTCCTTAGGAGAAATGGAGTCGGGAGGACCCACCTTCGTCACAGGAGAGATCGATGTATTAAACATCATCCGAGCTTTGGACCATCGGACTCCCCTTCCGATCGGTCACCTACTCTCGATCTCCGAGCAAGCCAACGAGCGAATGTTACAGCACTGTAAAGCGAATCGAAAGCGATTCGCTCTCGCCCGAGCACCGAACGGAAAAGCCAAAGGCCCTGCATCGGAAGAAGACCCAACGAACACTCCGGAACCGATACGGTTAGGATTAATTCAGAAAGACGATCATTTCCTACGGATTAAACCCATTTTGTGGAAATCCGCAGAGTGCGATATAGAAATTTGGGGAATTCCTTACGACGCAATTATAGACTCGGGAGCAGCTGTGTTGGCTATTTCACTGAGAGTGGTCGAAAGGGCAGGCAAGAAAAACGATCTGATCATGCTCACCGAGAAAGATCAACTCGTTTCAGCAGATGAGGAAAAGATTAAAACTGTGGGGAGAATGACCAACGTCGCCTTCCGATTAGGAAAAGTACACGTGCTTGGGGATGTCGTAGTACTAGATGTTAATACGTACGACGTTCTTTTCGGACTTCCTGCTCTTGTGGCGTTACGAGCAAACCTGGATTTCAAACGACGAGCGATCGTTCTCCGAAATTCAGGAGAAAAACCCTATGCTGTGCCCATGCGATTAACCCTTCGCACTGCTATTAACGCGGTTCCACGGGTTTCGCCGATGATGGCAGAGACTCTTCGCATGATCTCTTGGGACGAACCCACAGAAGGAAAGTCATCAACTGAAGATACGGAGAGCAGTGACGAGGATGATCCGGAGATCTTGAAATTGACACGACAACGTGTTTGTTACCCACCGCCCAAAACGATAGCGAGAACGATGCAACTGACCAGCCGAAAAATTCAAAGGACCAAGGCAATGATCTTGGGGGAGCCCCTCGTGCAAATTTCGAGGATGGTCAACTCTTTGGAACCCCCTCAAACTCTGTACGAAGGGATCACCCCTCTCCTCGCCAGGTACAGCGACAAAAAACATTTTTGCGACATTACGGAACTACCTAAGTCTATACTAACATCGGCTAAAGAAGTGAGATTGTTTCGCTTAGGGGCGGAAGCAAGCTCTCTGGAACCCCCTGGGCGTTTTGAAGCAGAAACAGACGGACTAGGGATAAAAATCGCAGCTAAGGAAGTGTCATGGCAGGATGTTTGTGACGGGATTACCCCGGAAGGACACGTGGCAATCCGAGAAGAGGATGCTCAGATGATGGCCACGGTGTTCTCCTGACAATCGGATCATTCATTCATCTCGCGCCTCTACCCGATTCGACAAAACAGACGAACACGAAACAGATTGACGTTCGGATCGGGAACCAACTTTTCGAACTGCACGTTCCACAATATGTGCCGGATGAAATCCACCGGGTAATTGCGGATATTCTAACGGAATACCAAGGAGCAATTAGTGTGTCAGACACTAACATCGGGTTGTAGTTAGTAATCCAACATGAAATTCAGATAGGAAATCACCTCCCAATTCATTTCAAACCTTATCGCTATTCCTTGATTGAACGCATAAAGGCTCTCGAACGAATTCGGGAGTTCGAAGCCAGTGGTTGGATTGAACCTGCTACTGAACCTTGGTCCTTTCTCGTAGTATTAGTGCCGAAGAAAAACTGCGCGATTCGCATTTGCATTGATTATCGCAAGCTGAATGAAATCACGATCAAAGATGTGTATCCCCTCCCCCGGATTGATGATCTATTGGATGCGATTGGGTGCGCTAATTATTTCAGCAAGTTTGATATTCGGCATGGCTTCGCGCATATTCTGGTAAGGGAAGAAGATCGACCGAAAACGGCCTTTGTGTTGTTTGAGGGCACGTGGCAGTGGGTTCGATGTCCGATGGGGATTTGCAATGCGCCTGYCAYGTTTCAGCGAGCAATGAACATGACGTTCCAMAATTTCGTCAACARGAMRCGGCTGACGCAAGGGATGATTAACTTYTGCGTSATCGTGTACATGGACGATATCCTGGTCTATTCGGAAACCTATCACGGGCACGCGCAACATATTGAATGGACATTGGGCGCGCTGAGAGACGCTGGGTTCAAGATTGCGCTTGAGAAGAGCGAATTTTTCCTCTCGGAAATTTTGTTTTTGGGCTACGTCGTGACACGTGGAGGATTGCGGCCGAACTCGAGAAAAGTTGTGGCTGTAAAAGAAGCCCCGGTTCCCACGTCACTGACGCAGGTTCGAGCCTTCTTGGGACTGGCATCGTACTACCGGCGCTTCATCAAGGGCTTTGCCGCAATTGCACGACCGTTAACGAACCTGTTACGGAAGGACCAACCTCTCAGTTGGGACGCGGAGTGCCAACAGGCCTTTGCAACCCTCAAAGACGCTCTGGCAACAACCCCTATTTTGATTCGGCCGGACCCCTCGAAGCAGTTCATCCTCATCACGGACTGGCAACCGAAAGCTATTTCCGCTATTTTAGCCCAGAAGGGGAACGATGGTCGAGAACACGTCATCGAGTACGCGTCTCGAACCATACCGGACGAATGAAGAAACGACTCCGCACCTCAAGGTGAGTGCTATATGGTAGTTTGGGGAATCCAGCACTTCCATCCGTATCTCTACGGACAAAAGTTTCGCCTCGTAACGGATCACGAACCTCTGCTGGCGTTGAAGAAGCTCACCAACTACACGGGCATGATTGGCCGTTGGGCGGTGTGATTGCAAGAATACGACTTCAATATCGTCCATCGAAAGAGTGAGCGACACGACAACGCGGACGGGCTGACACGTCTGCACCGACCTGTCAAGGTACCAAAGGGCGAGGAAATTACACCGTGGAAGGAGCCAGACTTGACCAACGAGCCTAAGTACGGACAAGTGGCAGTCCTCCCACGGGGCAAGAAGTGAATCAGTGGCGATGGGTGATGGAGGTAACCCCACTACCCCTCTCTCCCCCCCTTCATCTTCGTCTCTCCTCTCCCTGCCTGACAAATTTTGCTATTTTTGTGAAGCCATCTCCCGCGTATACTCGGTCTCCACGTGTCCCAATGGAGAAGGGTATGTCGATTGGATAGATTGTCGACAGTGCGTTGCACGAGCCATCCTATACAGAAACGATAATAAACCGTGGTTGTGCCCCTTGTGCCGGACCAACAAGATTCCGACCGAGGCTCGCTTTTTGGATGCCCCGTCAAAAGGATTGGAAAAGACCCGGAAGTTCAGAAGGGCCGAAGTATGGACGGATATTGCCTTGATTGCCACCCTAGTAGGTAACCCCCTCCAGGATTTCACTAAGGAAGATCGGAGGAGGGCCAACGAAAGGGCTCGGKATTATCGATGGATAGAGGGTAGATTAGAAAAACGGAAAACGGACGGTAGTGGGATTTGGATGGTAGTGCCGCATCCGTTCATGMGGTACGACTGGGTTMARACARCCCACGAGGAAAYTGSRGCTCATTTTGCCGTACGAATCACGGAGTCCACTATCGACAAAAATGAGTGGTATTGGTCCAATATCCGCGACGATGTGAAATACATTGTCGCCAACTGTCAGGTCTGCGCCACTGACAAGGCGCCGATTCAACCGCCAAGATCGATAGTGCCCACGGTTGTTGAACGACCATTTCAAAGAGTGAGCATGGACACTACCGACGTAGTGGTGCCCCTTGGCCTTAATAGCTGCGAATATTCAATCCTATTGGTATTTGTCGACCGTTTCTCAAAATGGATCAAAGCGTATCCTTGTCGCACGAGGTAAGCCACGGAAATCGCGTGGTATGTCAACCGTTTCCTCGGGATGCATCAGGATACGGAAGAAATCCTTACCGACAACGGAGCTGAATTTAGGGGAGAAGTACTAAGGAATCTGGTCCTACATGGCGTCGCCATACGTAACACTGCACCCCATATGTCCCAACCCAATGGACTGGTCGAAAACGCTAACCGGGTGATAAAGACAGCGTTGCGACGTAACATCGCGGCACGGGATCCGAGACCCTTGCCCGATATCGTCGATCACATCCTGGCGGTCCATCGAGGAACGCCCCACGAATCGACGGGGCTGAGCCCCTTCCAATTAAGGACCAATATCGTCGCTTGCGTTTCAATACCAAGCCTCCCGAACGAGTCTACAGTGAACCGACGTCCCACCAGGGCCACGGCTAGGGACAAGGCCAAACGGCACCTAGAGCTAATGGAACGGTCACTGCCCAGGCTAGCCCGAAAACGACAGAAAATGATCGAACTAGCCCAAGGCCGACAGATCCGGAGCTACGAGGCCCGAAATGGGAATGCGGGTCCACGGCCCCAATACAAATTGGGGGACGTAGTGCAGGTGAGGAAATGTGCTCGCCAGGGTAAGCTAGCGCCACGATTCTTCGGGCGATATCGCGTGATCGAGCTCGGCCCCAACGGCGTGGACACTGTGCATCTCGCCCCCCGGAAGCCTCTAGCAGCCGATCAGCCCGCCCGATCATACGCCACGTGTCCTATCTTCGCCTCCTCCCCTCTGCTCCGTCTCCTTCTCCCTCGATCTCTCCTTCTGAGGAACCCGAAGACGACGGCTATGACTCTCCGCCATCCCCCTCTTCCTCTTGCTCCCTCTCTGCCTCTCTGTCTCCATCGCCATCGCCATGAGTTTTCTGGAGGAAAGAGCCCTCAGCGAAGCATCGCTTGCACCCCGTGATCGATTGATGATCCGACAAGTCTATCATCCCCATCTCAGTCCAGATCTCCGGCGGCTTGCGCACTTTTTTTGCACGGGAGGCGTGTATGCAGCGGCGGTGTTCAGAATCGAGGGCCGGCCCAACGCAGTGGTACTGGCCGAGGCAGTAGCAGTTCATCAGCGAGCGGTGCCAGGTGTCAGCCGCATATTGGTCGTCATCAACTTCCGTGGCGATCTCTCCATACTTCTCCCTTTACGACATTCGGCGGTGAGGACGTCGCTGCGCGCGTGGGCAAACGATCTGGTCGCCGAGTGGACCCAGCTTCTGGCTCGCCCCGGGGACACGGTCGCGCCGACACGAGCAATCGAATACGACGGCCTTCGCATGTACCAACGTGATCCGCCGACGGTTCTCCCTGTTGTTGTTCCCTTCCCTCGCCCCCAATGAGTCTCTCTTCGATCTCCGTTTTTGATCTCCCCTCTACCCTCCCCACCTGCTGGCAGTCCGATATCCATCCTCGCCTTTCCTACTGTCTAACGACAGTTGCTGTCCCCGACATTCATCCCCCACACTGGCAACTGTGGCGCGAAGACTTCGTCGAGCTTTCACTGTGCTTAGTCGAGGTACGGCTGACGTGGACCGAGGACGAGGCGCGCCCGCCTTGCATAGAGCGCCTGGAGTTGCTGTTCATCCAGGCTTGGCGAACCAACGTGGAGGGAGAACTCCTTGCGTTTCTGTTCGGTACAGTACGGCCCAGACATCAGAAACTCATCGCGCAAGAGCTGGCGATCCCGGTAGCGCAGCTCGCGGACGATCTCCCTCTCGACATCATCTCGCATGACGACGAGCACCCGATTCCTCATGTACTTTCTCGCACGTTGACGCCGTATCTCCAGTGGTCGGCTTGTGTGGAGGGAGCCACAGAGCGCATCCTGCCGTCGCAGCAGCAGCATTTGGATCCCCGGACGGTTTGTGATCCTGCCTTCTTCAGGCATCCAGCGGCAGAGCAGCTTGATGCCATTCGAGAGGAAGAAAAGGAGGAAGAAAGCACTGAGAGTGACGAAGGAGAAGACGAGCGAGAAGAAAGTGGGGAAAGCGGCGAAGTACTCGGGGAAGAGGACGAAACCCCCGAAGAAGGAAGCTATAGCGAGCATTGCGAGGGGGAGCAGAGCAAGGAAGAAGAAGAAGACGACGAAGGAGAAGAGGAGAACGAAGAAGGACATGCGGAATCGGAGTGGGAATCTGTGCCGGAAGAAGCGCTGCGTACGGGCACGGAGGCTGAAGATCCGGAGGCAGCCCGCAAAAGAGAAGAAACCGCGGCCGGGAAGAGGGAACTAGAGTTTGCGAGCGGGGCAAGCTTGCACGTCCACGACGACCCAAACCAAGATCCGGAGCTGCCCCGACCAGAACATGGCGACCTCACGGCCACGACTCCAACCCCATCAACGTGGCGACGGAGCCGATTTCCCTCCTCCCCAACCCATCCCCCAGTTCGCCGACATACCGATACGGGCGATCGGCCTTCGTCCCCGATTACTCTCTCGCCGTCCTCTTGACTACCTCACCCTCCGCCAGCTCACCACCCCCATCACGTTCCCCTCCAACCCGTTTCCCCGCGACACCTTCCACCACTTGTATGTTGCTCGCCTCGCTATAGTAGTGCACCCCCACCCCTCCATTCAGTGCGCCGTCCCAACCTTCTGCCTCCATGTTTTGCTCCTTAGTGCCGCGTGGCGAGGCCACAATATGATCGGGGTTTATTGCATAGTAACGGGGACCATCCCCGCCTGCGAAGATCACGATCGTTTCCGCGCGGCACTTTTCCGAACTCTCACCACCCTCTATCCCGATTACCTCGCGTCCCTCGCTCGCAATGGCAACCGTTTCCCCCGCTTCCACCGCATCGTCCGCTACCGAGCGCTTCCAGAATCTGCAGCCGGGATGGAAAGGTTTCTACCCCCGCTACCCCTAAGCCCTCCACCCCGCCATGCCGCCATGCACCGGCTCCCTTTTCCCCTTCCAGTTAATTACTGATGCAACCGGTAATGGACGCGTGTTGCGGTAACGGGACGAGAAAAATCTCGTCCTTGGACTGTCGAGAGCCCAATCTAAGGACGTAGTAGAAGAGCAAAGTTGCCACGTTGGATGACGTCCGCACGCAATCGAACGGTAAGTGGCATAAAGAGAAGTGTTCCGCATGTCGATCGATTAGAGAAATCGACACGTGTCAACAAGCAAGCAGGCGCTTGCTAATATTGGAACCCCCTGGGCGTCACATATGTGACGAACCACTTTCTGTAACGCGCGAGTTTCTGCGCGGTTGCAATGAGGGGTCCTAAGCTGGGAAGATTGGGCCAATTACGAAAAATCGTGATCGGGGGAAAATTGCATAAGTTCCATTGCTTCTTCGTCTTTTTCGTCGCTTCTTCGGGGCTGATGTGTCCTGGGACGTTCGGTGGATTGATTGGTCAGCTGGTTGTTTGGCGCGACGCCATGCGTGCGCGCGATTAATATCGACGTCGTTTCTTTTGGTTCGATTTTCGATCTTTTGGGCGCGGACATCACGCGGGAAATTGATGCGCTCTTTTTAATTTTCTTTTGAAACCTTTTTGAATTTTTGTCGAGCCCCGATGGCTCTCGGAATTTCGGACTTTCCTTCTGGAATTTATGCCTTTTGCTTTTTCGCATTAGATAGGAATTTAGAAATTTAGTAATTAGGATTTTTCCAGCCGCGCAGCGCTTTTTGGTTCACGCTCTTCTTCATGCGGCTGTAACGGTACTCTGATTAGTAAGCGCCCTTAATCGTATGTGTAACTGTAATTTTTGGGCGGGCGCCTTTGTAACTGTATCTCTACTCTTGCACTTCGTCTCTCCCGCCCTTCCTCTCTTTCCTTTGCTGAAATTTTGTAAGCCGCGGCTTGCATGCTCGGATCAATGGGTGGAGAAGGGTTACGTCCCCCACGCCGCGGCCGATCATGCAGAACGCAGGCGTTCCCTCTCTAATCATCACTCTAAGTCCTGGTAATTCCGTGTTCTTCGTGCATGCATGCACGCAATAAATCTCGGCTGTGCGATTAGTCAGTTCTCTTAACCCGTTGTTGGAAGCTCGGGGTTGCGCGATCAGGTAGGGTCAGCACACGAGCGAAGTAAGAGGTGAGTAGAGTAGAAGTTGGGCGACCCGACGGGCTAGTGCCGAACGCGTGGGATTTACGTGGGCCACTACGGACTGTGGGCACGGGCGAATCCGACGGGTGCGGGAGGACTAAGCGGGGTGACAACTTTGTGGGTGGGTGCGTTGTCGAGCGCATCCGTCCCGCATGGGGACCCTCCCGGCCGCGTCACGCAGGATTATGCAGGACTTGTCGCGGAGAGCGTTCGCCGCTCCGGCCGAGTGTGCCAGCTGTACCTCTCGCGAGCCCTTACGAGAGGACAAGGTCACGCGAGGCACCGCTTACCTCCACCTGCGGGAGCTGTCACCATACCTTAGGTGGGAGTATCCCCGCCGATCTACTGAACCATAAGGCGTTTCTCGTTCGCTGTAGCATAGGGGGTACGCGCGGTCGAAAGCCCGAAATCGAACCCGTACGCGAATCAACGCACTGGGGGGCTGAAGTCCCAAACACGATCCGACGCCGATCGACTAGAACGCGCTACACACGCCACGCGTTACGCCACAATACTCACACTTACCAACATATAATACGTCGGAACACACAACAAACAACACCACAACGCCACAAACTCCTAGTCCCTTCAATATCCTGACCCATAATCCTTTGCAACGAGAATCAGATAGGTATCGCGCACTGAACTTTCATATAGGAGTCGCACGAGCGCATGACTTCCTCATATCGACCAGCCATGCGGGCATGTGCGAGCATTTGCACTGATGGAGCGTTATGTAGTACTCATAAGCGCACGATCCTCGATAGTCTCGAGGTCACTTTCGACACTCAAGTGTTGGCTGATACGCGCCTTGGAGGGTTAATCTCCCGGCGCTAGACGACCGTCATGTGCGGTTGAAGACCACACCCTCTTCTGCACCCTGTGCAGAGGGTTTGAGTAGACAACTTTGAGCTGTCGTTGAGGTCAAATGTCAAAGGGTTTGACTTTGACGGCTGCCACAGACTACAACGTCCAACCATATTAACTCTAAGAAGCAAAAGATAACAGGGGATCTCTCTTTTCTCTCAGTGCAAAGCCTACCTAATCACTACGCACGGCCTCACGTGGTCGTGCGGACACAAGGAAACAAGATATAAAAGTTATGAGATTGGAGACGATCACTCTCACAATCACGATGCAACTTCCCTTAAGCATGTATATACATATATAATCATACGCAAAGCCAAATCTGGACTTCAATTCACAGAACATACCTGTAATCACATCAAAAATCTACATCGACAGAGCACACACTACACGGGGTCAACTTCAACCATTCTTTGCGCTCACACCCCTCGCTTTAGCCATACAAGCCTCACTCTTTGTGCAGCTCTCAAAATAACATACTCAGCATCTTTATTAAATGACCATTCAATTAAAGTCCGGGTAAAAATAGAACAAAACAACACAAAACACAGGGCTAAAGCCTTTTTAGGTTGAGTAGCAAGARTGGATTAGAGTTGAGCCGAAAACCGACCTGTTATCAAAGGATAACAGAAAATGATCCTTGTAGGATCAACTCGAAGGTAGTCAAGCCCTGAATCAATCTGAATAAAGGTGACCTGCAATGCAGCACAAACCAGTACCCTAGCCATGCTTGAGTGATAAAGATAAAATATTGCCTAGCCTCTGATGTTTATGAACTTTTGGCAGCATGTCCCCTCAACAGGATGAATCGCTAGATTTCTCCTAGCTGAAAATAATCTAACTCCCTAAACTCTGCAAAATTTTGGCAGCGCTTCTCGTAGGAAAAGTGCCTTCCCAGAATTTCTACAAGTCCAAAAATGACCAACTCTTTCAGATTTGTAGAAATTTCGGCAGCGCTTCCCGTAGGAAAAGGAGACTACCAAGATTTATACGAAGCTGAAAACAGAAATACAAGACAAAACTATACTGAGGATTAACTTCTGACACCTGCTTGGTAACTTAGGCTCAGCATTAGTTTACATGCCCTCTGAATGAGACCATGAGCCAATGTCGATCCTAAACCCTATCATAGTCAGTCCTATCTTATCCCAAGCTTCCCGCCCATCATCCATCTTACCTACCTATGGCTCCAGCACTTGGCGAACATCTACAACAACTACTCTATCAAGGAGAATACCCCAGAGATGACATTCAAAAACATGCATAGGTGAATGCAACATCTCTCACCAACCCTTAGGTTCTTTTCCAGGTCACATAGTTCGTTCAAAAACCCTCATTATTCCCTTTTTACCCCTCCTTACATAAGACATAGGGTCAGCCAACCCAACTTATGGATGTGACTGACCTGCCAATTTATATGACTAGGCCACACCAACTTATGGTGCCCTAGCCTRGTAACACAAATATRTGTRCGCGTAAGACTAAACCACACCAACTCATGGTGTGACCAGTTTCTGCAAAACRATCGACATAAGGCGTATGACCGGTCGCACCAACTTATGGTGAGGCTGGWCAGCCTGAACGTTCGGCATACACATAGAACTKAACCTCTTGAACTTATGAGGGGCCAGCCTCTGCCTAAACAACAACAAAAGGCATATGACCAAACACAACAACTTATGTTGTGCTTGACCAGCCTATACAGTGACATATAGCATAAGACCAGGCTACCCAACTTATGAGTAGTCTAGCCCCGCCCAAACAACAACAAGCGCGTATGACCAAACAACCCGCAACTTATGCGTTCGCCCGACCTCCGCAACACAACTACATCCAATAGATAGAATCACAATCAAATTTTGTCTTCAGGCGAGTGGTCAGGTCACCTCAACTTATGAGGATCCCCACCCAAACRTCGGTTAYGTTTAGAAAAAWGAAATATCCAAACTTTATATACCTCTTTGCTTTTGTGTTATCAAGGGCATARGACCAACTACCCAACTTATGGATGAGTCAGCCTGCCCAAAGTTACCACACCATTTTGTATTGTTCATCTTCCTTCCCTCTGCCTTGTCTGCTACCTGCGTATATGGCTGGATCTCCCAACATATAGCGCCCAACTTGCCATAAATATACATAATAAATAGAGTATCAAAATTGTACACTCCGATTCTCTTTGTGATGGTGRCTCATGACTTGACCACACCAACTTATGGTGTGAATAGTCTTGCCTGAAAYAGTAAAGCATAAGACTGAGCCACACTAACTTATGGTGTGGTCAACTTCTRCCTAAACAATCGACGTAARGCGTATRMCCGGGTCCCACCAACTTATGGTGAGACTGGTCAGCCTAAACTTTCGGCATACCCAAAGAACTGGACCACCTCAACTTATGAGGAGCCCAACCTTTGCCTGAACAAACGACGAAAGGCATATGACCAGACACAACAACTTATGTTGTGCCTGGTCCGCCCATACAGTTACATATGGAGTAGAGCGAGGCTACCCAACTTATGAGTAGTCTAGCCCAGCCTAGACATAATCACATGTGCGAAGAACTGAACAACCCGCAACTTATGCGTTCGCCCAGCCT